CATCACACTACTAAGAAGCTACGCATGGCATGGCATGGCATGGTTTGGACCCACTACCTAAAGGCGTTATGTACTCGTTTTTTTTTTTAACGATCATGATTTTACGCTTTAAGGACTCAAAAGAAGTTCTCAGAATCTATAAAAAGTGGAAGACAAAACTTTGAGGGTGCGTCGTTTTTTCAACATACCTTCTGGTTATCAATAAAATGCTTTAAAGAAGTATTTTAAGTGTGCACGTTAAAGAGTGTAATCAACTTTTTTACTCCTAATATTAAAGCCATTGTAAGCCCTTTTTTTCACCACAAGGTAAGCCAACCCACTATCCAATCAGAGGGTTAGGATTTTCCCATTGCTTTCCCTAAAGAATTCCCAGTAAAAACCATTACTTTCTCAGAAGAAACAAAAGAGTTCTTAGATACAAAATAGTAAGTCTGAGTTACCATTAAACTATAAGCCAAAATAGTCAACAATCTCGCATTAGAAAAGGTTGTTTATATCAAGTTTGCCATTTTCATATGATTAAACTGGAAGAGAGCAGAGGGTTAGGTCAAGTTGGACGACAACCCAGCCCCATAACAATATTTCCACGTCTTAAAAAGTTAATTTTAACAGTTTTTATACTCATAAACATCAACCCCAGTTTGGTACATCTGTTTTATATGGTCGGACCCTCAATGGCTATAAAAGATTGTTACAACACATAAGTTAGGTTCTATATGCTTGTTTTTTTCTGCCAAAACAAAATCAAAATCACAACTTATAAACAAGAATGTCATCTTATGATATATATGCAATTCGCTGTGTGGATGGATGAAGTGATGGGTCAAAATTGTGGTTTTTTATGAAAGCATTTAGTTTTATTAAAAAATGAAATATTTAAAATTATAATAAATGTTTACAACTATAATTGTAAACTAAATATTTAATTAGTATATTTTTCTATAATTATTAACACAAAAAGTAATCACTTGAGATCAAACAATGTCATACAAGGAAAAAGTTAAATCCTAACGAAAAAAACCCAAATAAAAAATAGATATAAACAGATCTGATTGGACCAGCAAACGAATCTTAAAAGGGGATTAAACTACTGAAAAATCACATACAAACTACAAATTGAAGTCGAGTGACATGAAAAAACCATCCACGATTGTAAATTACGTATCCAAATCCAGTCCGAGGATCCAAAATTGAGAAGTTCATCATGGTAACAAATAATTGTCATCTTATCAGTCGTAGCGATGTTAAATTCAACTAGGAGAAAAAGATAAACTAAAATAACAACAAAAAAACTAAAAATGTGCCATAAGAGTAGAGAAAAACATGTCATAAAAACAAAACTATTTAAAAACAAATATACTATATAAAAATAAAATAAAAAAAATATTGACGACCACAACTAGGGTTGTAAATGAGATGAGACAGATCGCGATCTACTTGAGATCGACTCGGTCAATGCTCGATAAATACTCAGATCGAATGGACTCGACTCGAACTCGAGCTCGACTCGAATTCTTAACGAGCCGAAACGAGCTACTTGATACTCGACTCGAAAAGCTCGTGAGCAGCTCGAAAATATAATATATTAAGAATTTATTTTTTAAAAAATAAATTATTAATAATATTAATATTTATGTGTTGATTTTTTTTTAAATACAATAAGGCTTTCATGTATTTAAGATTCATGTTCGAGTTTGAATTTGATGATTCAATCTTGTTAAGTTTAAGAATTTTTTTTTCATTTCAAGCCTTTTCGAGCTACTCACGAGCTTCAGTTCAAGATTTCGAGTTCGAGTCGAGCTCCATTTCAAAATTTTTGAGTCGAGTCGAGCTCAGCAATACTCGAGCTCGACTCGGCTCGTTTACACCCCTAACCAAAACCTGCACAAAGCATGTTTTATATTTAACAATTGTACTTTTTAAAAATAATATGTTTAATTAGTATTTTTGAAAATATTGAAAGAAATGAAATAAAGGCTTTCATATTTTTGAGAGATAGATGATTAGGTTTTATTTTTGAAAAAAATTGTATTTTTTAAAAGTAATATGTTTAATTAGTATTTAATATATTGATTGTTTTTTATTAGTCTATGGTGTTTACAAGTGATATTATGTGTTCTAAAATCTCTTAATCATTTGATAATGAACACTTAAATATTTTACAATCTTTTGTACTCGAATCTAAGACATCTAAGAATAACAATTATTTCTCTAACCATTGAGGTAACTTAATTCGTGCATGATTGTTTTTAATTAATTACAATATAAAATGAGATAAATAAATTTTTAAAAATCATAAAAGAAATATGAATACCTTTTATTTAGGATAAAAAAATGCTATTTACTTTATCATTCAAGTGCCTCGATTTAATTAACTAAGCTTATATTATACATAGGTAGTATATTAAACAATACCTCTATAAAATATAGGATACAGGATAAACTACACTCGTGATCACTTAATTATAAGAGAATTTTAATTGATTATTAATTTTTTTAATTTTTACATTTAAATTAATTATTTATTTAAATGATGTCAATTAAGTCACGAGTCGTTAACATCTAACGAAAATGATGACATAGCAATAAAAAAATTAAATATAATTATACATTTGATATTTATTATTTATATATTTTATTAATTTTATCCTAGTATTAATTTAACCTAATACATTTATTTTTTTTCCAATCAAACGCTGACATATTACTAATGCTACTTTTTTCCAACGACATTGACATGTCATTTTTTATTTTTATTTTTAAAATTTTTACATCATTTTTATATCATAATCAAGAGTGAACGTATCATTGTTTAATTATTTTATCTTACTAATATGATGCTAACAAAGTCATGTTTATCTTACTAATATGATTGTAACACAGTCATGTTGTTCCAAATAAAACGAAAGAAATTTTATGTTGCTTAATTGAATTGAGCTTAGCTAAAATTTTATTTAATTTTTATCGAAACTTATATTTAAACTATACTATGTTACCACCTTAAAATTATATCAAAAATACAATTGCAATGGATTAAACCTAAGACTCTAGCCAAAGGAGTCCAATATTTAACCACTGAATCAATCTATACAACTGTTATATTTATAAAATTAACGTGTGATTAAAATTAAAGATAAAACTAAAATTATTTTAAAATATATATAGTTCATGATTTTTTTTCAAGAAAATAATTCAGTGATTAAAATAAAAAATGATAATATATTAATGATTAATGTTATAATTTGTCCTAGAAATGATGAAGTGAGAAAGTGTGAGAATCAAAGTTGAGCGGAATATCCACATCAATCGGATGGTCGAGATCAAGCAAAACGACAGTAATGCGTCCTTATGTGAGCCAACACAGGCTGATTGAAAACGATGGCGTGTCCAATCAAACCCACCTCTCCTTGCCTTTCATACAGCCCCGTATGCTCTCAACAATTTTACAGGCTCAAGCAACTTATATCAGTCACAATAATTAGGTAACTGATTTTGAGAGCCTTAAATGCCACGTCCCACCCCTTTTATCTATTTCATTATTCATTAATCAATGATTATACTCTATAATTAAAATGGCATTTCATTATATACATGCTACATTCTATTTTTTTTAAACACCAAGTTAAAAATCTAAGCCCTTGTCTGCAAGGATATTACGTGCAAACATGGGATACGTGAGGATTCGGAATTTTAGGGTTAGTAGGGTTTGGTTTTGTAGGGTCAAATACAGACCATACATATCTGAAAACAACTTTTATAATTAAAATCTAAAATATATTTTGTTTTCCGAAAGATTTACACGTTAAATGTAGGTTAAAAGTTAATAAGATTGTTTAGCTACTTCAATTAATATTTTGTTGAGATAGTTGCAGAGCTAACTTCAAATTTTGTTGTTCAACTGATCTATCCATTTCCAGATTTTAATGGATCTTTCTTCTTCTTCTTCTTCTTCTTCTTCTTTATGATATAATTAATGAAGCAGAACATAACAGAAAAATATCAACAAGAAGATAAGTCGGTGAAAGATTCTCTAATCAATCATATGATATTAAATTTAACCCCCCGATTATGATTTTTCTTTTTTATTTGATTTATAATCACTGACTAGGTCAAAGGCTGTGGCTAGGGATCTTTCTTTGTATGTAAAAAGAAATTCATAGGAACAGCATATTTAAACATTATTTTCTTGTAAAAGAATTGATGTTCCTTGATAATTCGGGTTCGAGTATCATATATATATATATATATATATAGGGATATGAGCGTTAATGTCAAAAAGTTAAAAATTTATCTTTGAACATATATTCCCTTATAATTATTTCAATTTAATAAAAAACATTATTTTCCTCATCATGAGAAAAAATGACTGGATTAATTTAGCAGTGTTAATCAAATTTTATTTATTTAATCAATTTAGACTATTTAGCAATTGTTTTTATTCATTTTCAAAGAAAAATACAAGGTTTTTATGGGGTTTGAACAGGAGTGGTAGTGATGGTTGTTATCCCTTTTTTTCTTTTATACCATTCAACAACAAAAATTAGTTGACTCTTATTTTCATATGTAATGGGATAGGGGGAAGGTAAGATAGTAGGTTGCCCCCAACGCCAGGTTGAGAGCAGCTTCCGTAAGAGACCTCTGAATTATGAAATACCCTTCGTGGGACTCGATCCCAAGACCCCAAGGTTAAGAGTCTTGTGCTCTACCAACTGAACTGGATGGTCATTTCATAAAATTTGTTTGCTTGCCCACCTGATTATTCCCCAACAATATATATATATATATATATATATATGTATATATATATATATATATATATATATATATATATATATATTAATTTCTTATAATAATAATAAAAACACAAAATATTTAAATGAATAGTATATATTTTTTTATCTATAATATACATCTTTTTTCTTCTTCTTTTCACACTATATCTAAATCATAACTTTGTTTATGCTTTGGCCAATGGATTATCATAAAAAACCCTAATTCTTGTTACTTTCGATTTACCTTCAGATCATTTAGTTTAAAGCTCCTTTGTTTAATTTATTACATGCCCTTTTGTTGGAAAGACAAAGTAAAAAGCAAAGCAAAACACTGTCTTGTTTTTTTGCAGATCAGAGCTTTAAAGACAACATGGGTACTTTCTGGTAACTCTTCTTCCAGAAAATCTTCCTATTTCTTTTCTCTCTTTTTCTTTTCTTTATTTTATATTGTTTTTTCATGCTTTGTTTTGATGGAGAGCTTCTTTCTTAAATGAGTCTGGGCAGTGAAGCAAGCAAAAAATCTCTTCTCTGAAAGGGGAAAACAAAGCTCCCTCCACATCTGTATCTCTTCTCATGGATTCTGGTGGTAGTGTTCAATCTTCGAGTGGTGGCAGTGAAGAGTTTGATTCACGCGCTGACTCGTTCTCAGCTTTTTTTAACAGTAACACATCGATCCATATTGGTCATGGTCCGCCGCAGCCGACGATGATGCAGCGGCAACACCACCACCACCAAAGTCAGTCTCCGTCGTCTATGTTGTTTGACCCTTTATCGAACTACTTGGATCATCCTTTATCAAGTGCGACGAACCAAGACCTTGACGTTGTTTGGTCCAAAAATACAAGATCCGAGCCCGGTTGCAATGATCTGGCTGGGTTTATGGCCTCACAAGAAGCACAAAGCAGAGCCACTTTTTCTTCTGTGCAGATCACTGTAGAATCAGAAAGTTGTACAAAAGCTTCAGCTTCAGGCACAACCGACCAACAACCCAGCAACAACAATATGATTCGTAACTCAAAGAAGAGATCCAGAGCTTCTCGGCGTGCTCCAACGACCGTTCTTACGACAGACACCACTAATTTCCGAGCCATGGTTCAGGAGTTCACCGGGATCCCTGCACCGCCCTTCAACTCCTCACCTTTCCCAAGAACCAGGCTTGATCTATTTGGTACGAGTTCCAGTATGAGATCAACTCAGTTAGACCGTTCATCTCCTCATTATCTTTTAAGACCATTTGCCCAAAAACTCCAGTATCCTCCCCCATTTATTGCTTCTTCTTCTACAGCTTCCTCTTCCATGGTTGATGCTATAGCTTCTACACCTAGTACTAATTCTACTTCCAGTACAACTTCCATTAACTACCAACTACCTCAAAATCCACTCAACAACATCGGCATGCAAAACCCAATTCTCAACTTCGTATCCCTCCTTCAAGCCCCTCAAAAATACCCAGTTTCCAATTCGACAGGGTCCTTGAATATTCCATCGAACGAGTCTCTTCTCAGAATGGGTGTTTTTGAAGAGTTCGGCTTGAGCCAGGGGTATGGAAACACCAACCTCAGCGGGTTTCAAAACACGGTTCCATCATCATCAACAGGGTCTCAAGGAGTAAATGATCAAAGTCTTGTAAGGTCCATCAATGTAGGCGGCTACAACGGTAACACCCAAAGAGTTACCAATGGGAAAGGGAACAACTTCCCGGTTCCTTCATCGGATTTTCACGGAAAGGGCCGGAAATTGTAGCTACAAGAAGTGAAGGTATGGTTGAATCATGGCTATGTTCATCTGATTAGGATTTATGTAAAATATTATCAACAAAATTATAAAAAAAAATATCCACAAAGAATAGCATGGTGAATATATGATGCATGAAAGAGATGGAATCTCTCTTGTTCTCATTTTAACCATGATTTTCAATATATGTAAATCTAAATCACTGTTTTTCCCCCACCACTTTCTTGAAAGATTATACCCCTCCTCTTGAATTTAATTATATGTAAATGATAGTAGCCTCTAGTCTCAGGATATCACATTTTATCATACTATTGTTATGTCCATCATACATGGACGATCATGCCTTTTTCAAAGCTGTCGTCTGAATAGTACAAACAAAAGATGGTAGCAGTCGTCGTTAAAATATTGAACATTCTTCTCTTTATCTTTGGAGAAATTTCTATTTTGTTTTTTCGTTTGCTTTTTTTTAATTTAATTTATGTTATTTGGGTTTCTTTTGATTGAATGTAAAAGTATAATCAGATAGCGGAATTCATGAAAATCTGTGTTTTTTTGTTTATTTTCTTTGTGAACACCCCCCCTAAATCTAATAATTTAGTGTAAGAAATCAAATGGCCCGGAATTGTCTGGTTCTTTCTGTGATTATCTAACTATGAATATTAAAGTGTTGAAAGAATTTTATTCATCGTCCAACCACTAATATGATTAGAATTTATTTAAATACAATTACATTTTATATGATTATCAGACACAAGATATTTATGGTTATGAAAATAATATATGATGCCTAAGATCTATTTTATGTGGTAATTGTGCTTCTATACAGGATACAGTTGTGTATTTTTCCTTGTATAAATTAATGGGTTATTTTTCACTCTTTTGTAATGTAGACATAAAGATGCTCATACTTTATATATATATAAGAGATAGTATCATTCTTTAAAACTTTCAATTATTTGAATATAAACATTTAAATTAAGGATGAAGTCAGGATTTCAAAGATAAAGTATAACTTTTTTAAAGTTAAGGGACAATTTCATAATTATCCCATAATATTATATATATATATATATATATATATATATTATATATATATATATATATTAAATGTAAAAAAATGTGATGGGTTGGGGTCACAACCCCTCCCACTACCTTAATAATTAATTTTTAATAGTCTAATCTATAATCTCTAAAATTAATAATTATTCCTTTAACAGTTTGATTTTAGTAAACATACTCATAGTTATACATAACCAAATAGTAAAATTCCCAAAATTAAAGAAATCATTAATCTTACATAAAATAATTGAGCAACTATTTAGAATTCCAATTATTAATATATAAGTCCAAATCGTAGGCTTTGGTTCATCTCACTCGTAAAACCACATGGTTGTACATTTTGGACAAAACAACCTTTCTCCCATTATAAATGGTATTTGAGGTACAAGGATGATTTCCTTGCTGCCCTTTCCTCGTAGGCTATTGGCATTACGGGGGCAAACCATTCTGAAAAAGAAAAGAAATAGAAAATGATAAATATATCAAATTCTTAGTAATATAAATTATGAAATAAATATAAATATTTAAATAAAAATTTAATATATTTATTTACGATTATTTACATCAAATACTACTGAACTTTAGTTGTATTGTCTATATCACTAAAATTTTAATTTTATCAATTATAACATTAAATTTTTATTTTCTTTTTAATTATATTCTTAAGTCGTTAAATTATTAATAGTCAGATCAAAACGATGTCATTTTGATGAAATGTTTACATCGATAAACATCAGTCATGTCAGTATCCGTCGATCACCTCGTCATTTTATTAACGATTGAACAGTTCAGGAATATAATTGAAACGAAAATAAAAATTTAATGATATAAATAATATAATAAACTAAAATTTAGTAATATACGATGTTATTTACCCTGTTATTTATTGTTGTCATGATAAGAAATGATTAGCCATGGGATATTTGGGGATAAAAGGGGGCAGGGCTTTAGAGAGGAGAGAAAAAGAGTGACATTTCTTTTAGCATAAAATGGTGGCCCATAGCCTTAGTTAGCAATCATAGCTAGCCTATCAAATCCAAAGTAATATGTATGTGGCCAACAGGCATATCTCTCGTAAGTGACCCTTATATATATATATATATTTACGTAAATTTATCGATCTAATATCCGATTCTTAAATAATTTTTTATTATTTCATTTAAACATTAAAGATAAATATAAAGGTATAAAATTATCCTTATAATAATGTTACTTACCCTTTAAAATAAAAATATTTTAAGGATTTTCTAAATCAAATTTGTGTCCAATTGACTCATGATGCCAACTCAATTAATGATTTTATGACTTATAAAAGATTAATTGCATAAGAGACAAAGAAGACATTAGTCATTACACTATAAAAAATTAATGGTAAAGTACATAAATGATCCTCAATCATAGTAAGTTGTTTTGTTGAGTCATTCGACTATAAAAAGTTACAACATGGTCCTTTGAATATAGGATATTGTTTTTATTGAGTCTCCCGACAATTAAATATTACAAAATGGTCACTTGACTATTCATATATTTCAAAATAATAATTTTCTGTTAAAAACTAATGACGGTCTAAGCTGGATGTTAACTTGCTAACCGTAATATGATAAAAAAACGATCATAGAATCTCGAACGACTATCATATGCTAATCAACATGTTAATATTTAGCTTAGACGATAATCATTTTTTAAGAAAATGATAAGTTAGGAACATATGAATAATCTGGTGACCATTTTGTAACTTTTAATAGTTAGGAGACTAAACAAAACAACACCCTAAAGTCGGATGACCATTATGTAACTTTTAATAATCGGAAGATTTAACAAAGCATCACTATATATACTATATATTCAGGAGATCATTTGTATAATTTATCCAAAAATTAATTGGTTTAATAATTATATATATAAGAAAAAAAGTAATTGTTAAGGATATTGTTAAATAATTAAATAACGAGTAAAATGATTATTAAATCGAAAGGATATGAATTTAAATGAATAAATGTAGCACGAGGGAAATTGTGTTATCGGGGAGTAATAATTTAGTGTGCCTTATAGATGGAAACTAATTGCCTTTAAAGATGAACAAGTTGATTGAGTGAGTGTAACACCCTAAACTTAATGTGTGGATACACTAGGTTTAAAGTGTCGCATTCCTGCTCACATATAAGGGTGTAAACGAGCCTAGTCGAGCTCAAATATTGTTGAGCTCGACTCGAACTCCTATAAAAATAAACTCAACTCAAATACTCACAAGCTAAAAATTATCAAACTCAACTCAAACTCGAAATATATTATTGAAACTATTCAAACACGAAAAAACTTAAATTCAAAAAATTTCAAAAACTCGATTAAAACTCAAGACTCAAACTCGATTAAGCTCAAATTTGAGCTCGATCCTCCTCCTGAAGTAAGCTACTATGAAAGGTTCTGACCCTCAAAAATTAATTTAATATCGCGTAAGCCATTAGCCTACGTATCAGATATTAAACTAATAAACAGATACTATACTTGATCTTAGCCAAAAGGCCGAGAAATATATACTTAAAAAAGACGTTAGTCCACTCCTTTTATAACTGCTCTCCAGCGCTTTAACTCTCTTCAGCGTCCGGTGTGGGATATAAATTCAAAAGGCTTTGGAGTCCTGAAGGGAGCTCGATTCTTCATGAAAGAAAAGCATAATTTACAACTTCGATGACATTGTTAATTGGTTTTCATTAAACTTCGATGATATTGCTAATTGGTTTTCACTTAATCTTTATACTTTGAAGTAGAGAAGAAGAGGAAAACGAGAAGTTGTTCGTAGTCTCTGTTATCACTTCATCATCGTTCCCCTACTCTTTACAATACCCTTTTCATTCCTGCAAATTTGACCTTTTTTATAAAACTCAGATGAAATTCTATTGAGATGGAAATCCAACCATGAGATTGATGCCAAAAATGAGGGGGAAACGAAAGTTAACAGAAAAGAAAATTTTGGTCTAAACTGAGGACTGTAGACAGTAGATAGCAGCTAAGACTTTCTGTTTCTACCGGAGAAATAAAACAGAAACAAGACCCTACCTGCAAAACAATGGTTTGTTCGAAGTATATGGTATTGTTTCTCTCAGATCTTTGATGGCCGAGAAAAGAAAAAGACATGGTCTCACTGCAAAAAATGGAAGGACATACATGAATGAGTTTAGCATGATTTTTTTGTAGGAGTGCAGCTGCAAGTAACCTTCGAAAATTCACTTCTGTTTTACTGATTCCCATGTCTATGCCTGTCCTGTAACCAGGTTTGCCAAATAAAGAATCTAAATGATTGACTTAAATGTAGATTATATGCTTATTAATTGAAGTTGTTGAACTTACAGTTCCAATATAGGGATATGATACGGGCTATACGTGCTTGCAAAACTACAGCAGAAGAATGTGCTGTTGTAAGGAAAGAATGTGCTGCTATTCGTGCAGCAATTCTTGAAAATGATCAAGACTATAGGCACCGTAACCTGGCAAAGCTCATGTTCATTCACATGCTTGGGTATCCCACGCATTTTGGCCAAATGGAGTGCCTGAAGTTGATTGCATCTTCTGGATTTCCAGAGAAGAGGATTGGATATCTTGGTCTTATGTTGCTTCTTGATGAAAGACAAGAGGTTTTGATGTTGGTGACAAATTCATTAAAGCAGTATCCTACATGTAGACTTTCTCAAGTTTAATTTGTTCCCATTTCCTTTTCCCTATTACCATGTGAATACAAAGGTTTTGATGTTCGTAATTTTGTAAATACAAAGGTTAAAAAATCCATGTGAATCCATGACCACATGCCACGTGACTGAGACCTCAAACTATATTATGTAATTATGTTCCTACATCATGAATAGTGTGATATTTGTTCAATAATATTATGCATTCTTCATAAGGAATACTATATTTAGGGTTTAGGATTTATGATTAGTCAAAATAGTTGAAATGTTCATTCTTCAATTTGAGAGTTTAGGGTTTATGGTTAGTCAAAATCCAATAAGGAAATATTATTAGTCAAAATAGTCAACCAGAAAAACAGCTGAAATGTTTATTCCTCAATTTGAGGGTTTAGGGTTTATGATTAATGATTTAAGGTTTAAGATTTATATTTTAGGGTTTAGGGTTCATTACAAATACATTAATTAATCGACTTGATACCGATTTATGAGGTAAGTACAATATAGTATATTGATATTAAATGCTCAAACCCTTGATATTTATGATATTTGAACCAGAAACCTCAAAATATAACAACAATTTAAAAAATTAGTTATTAAAAATATTATCATTAGAAATATATTAAATATTTGTCATTAGATAAATAATTTTTTTATTAATTTAAAATAAATATAAGAATATTTATTCAAAAATAATTTTTAAATATTTTCAATTTTTTTATTGTTTGGCTATTTTTTATGATTTTTTATTTTATTTTTCTACATTGTCAAGTACTTGTGCAGTAAAAAGTTAAAAAAGAAAGAAAAAAAATCAACCAAACACGTGTAATCTAACATATGTTTAATTATATGAACTTTTATTTTTCTTTTAGTAATATACAATGTAACAATTGAACTTGGGATGGTTAATTAAAAAAATAAAAAATTGAGGGTAGTTGTATTATAGAATTTTTAATATATTTTTAAAATTTTATAATTATCAATAGTGTATTTTTAATATATTTTTAATAATGTAATTTTAAAAATCTAAAATTATAATATAACATTTTTTTCGAGCTGCTCACGAGCTTTTTGAGTCGAATATCGAGTAGCTCGTTTCGGCTCGACTCGAGTCCATTTCGATCCGAGTATTTATCGAACCTTGAAAGAGTCGATCTCGAGTAGCTCACGATCTATCTCGTTTCATTTACAATCCTACTCACAAGATAGTTAGTATAAAATTTTTGGATTTGAAAACTTCTCAAAAACATCTTTTGTATTTTAAATACAAAATATGTGATAACTGAGATAGTTAGTATACATAAAATATGGAGTTTCGACCCCTTTATGATCCATAAAATATGTAACAATTTCAAAACAAAACCAGACATCAGACTCAATATGTCAACACACCTTTTCGTTCTACTACGATTCAAACTCCTAAAAATAGGATAGAATTTTGCTAGGTTTCAAACTCTTTAAAATAGGATAGAGTTTTACTATGATTTAAACTCCTAAAGATAGGATCCACAAGCATTATAAATAGTCATTGTAACTCACTATTGTAACACATTCGGAGGAGGATATACGAAATACCAAGCAAAAAATTACAAGCAACTCGTAGCCATTTTTCGAAGCATTTATATTTTGAAAGGTAAAGTTCATACCTTCGCATGTTATTTTTCCTTACCCTTGCTGTGTTTTGATTTCGAAACAAAACTGAGAGAAGTGTTTTTGGTCGATGAACGGGGGCGTTTTCGAGATCTATTTTTGTAGATCTAATCCCCGAGGCTTGTGTTTTTGAAAAACTATTCGGATTTTTATAAATGGGTCGTGTGGATCCGCGTGTTTTGTCGTTTTTTTTCTTCGATTGGCTTTTAAGTTTGACCTCTAATTCATTTTTTATTTTAATTTAACCGTTATTATTTATATGTATATATGTATATATTTAATTATATTTTATTTTTATTTATTATAATTTTTTTTTTTTTCTTTTTTATATATATTTTTATTAATATATATGTAATTTATTATATTTTTTATTTATATTTTATTTTATTATATATATTTTATATTTTATAGATATATTTATTATTTATTTATACTATTTATTTATTTTCATTATATTTTTAGTTTCTTTGCTATTATTATTATTTTTTTTAAAAAAAACATTTACCTTTTTTATTCTTTTGTATATATATTTTATCTTCATTTATTTTTTTTTTCAATTCTTTTTTTCATCCAATATTTTATTTATTATTATTGGTTTCATTTATTTTCTTGGTTTACTCTTTAGTTTTGTTACTTTCTTTATTATTATTATTTTCTTTTAAAATCTATTTTAAAGGTATTTCTGTAAACTCATTAAGGGTAAGTAATTCGGATCAAATTTTACCTTTTTAATTTAACTTGCAATTTTCTTAATCAAAGACAACTGGAAATTACGTAGTACCGAAAGGACGGTTCAAGGGTGCTAATCCTTCCTTGATCGTAACCGACTCCTGAACCCGACACATCTTTGGAAAGACGCAGATCAGGTAAGAAATAGGGTATCCGATCAACCCATTTGTTTTAAATAAATTATCGGTGGCGACTCCAATCCACATTTTTCAAGTCGAAGCTCAATTCCGGGGCCCAACCGAAAGACGGTTGCGACAGCTTGGCGACTCCACTGGGGATACAGATAAGTGAGTCAGGCTAAGGTAATTTCCAGTTGTCTTTTTAATGAAAAGGGTAAGTTTAAATTTTAAGGTAACATTTCGATCCTTATTACTTACTTTTGATTATATTTTCAAGTAAATAGTTGTACTGACCGTTTTTCTAATGATTTCAGCCCTTAAAGATTTTTCATCCAAAGGCTCTATACCCGAGCTCCGAACCCGTTTTAAGTGGGGGTGAAAGTGACGCCTTCGTGTGAATTTATTCATCGTATGGGCCTAGCAAGTAACCTTCGGGATTCATATACCTTATGCCTTCGTGTGAATTTATTCTCCGTATGGCCATAAGGGAATGTTTCCTCTCAAGTTTAACTTAGTCCACACAAGCCTGTGATGGGTTTAGGACTAAGGGTCTGGTAAGCCCAAGGGGGCACCGACAAGGAGAACTCGAGTACATTTTTTTAGAACCTAAACCCGGAGACTATAAGGAATTAGGGCCCACCCTAAAACCTCGTTTTAAACCCTAGGATGCCGAAATTATTTTCTGCTTTACTTTCTGTTCAAAACATGTGAACTAGAAATTTATGCGGTTAGGACTTGTTCAAAATCAACTTGCGGGATAGAGATCATGTCCGGGTGGGAATAATAAGCATGTGGGGTAGGACTTTTATTTTCATGATTGCTTTGATTATTATCTTTACCTTACTAACTCTTTTCATTTTTTTCATCTCTTTTATTTTATTTCCATCATCTGCATCATTCAAAAGAGGTATTGATCCACAAAAAAACGTGTTCGTTAACCATAAATAATATGTATTAATGGACAAAGGTGTTGTAATACAGGAGATTAAAAACCCCGAGGTACGACTATGGTCCGAGAAGACTCAGAAAGAAAAGGGAGACAGTCTTCAATAAAGTTATGTGTCAGAGCTTGTTAGCTATGCCTCTATCAGCCTAAAACAGAATAATGTGCAAGAACTTCGAGACATCTGGGACAGTTGGAAAAATGATCGAAAATAGAAGTTCAGTTAGCGGTATGGTGACATTGCACTTTTGCTTCATGTTAAGACCGGTGAGCCCTTAATCAGAGCCTTGGTTCAATTCTGGAACCCGGGATACAGTTACTTCACTTTTAACCAAGAGGACATGGTACCTACCATCGAGGAGTATACTACACTATTGCACTGTGAAAGCATTAAACTGGAGCGAGCCTACATCAA